TCCTTTTCTCTCTTAACCCTTTCTTTTTCCAGTTTCTCGTCTTCTTCGCGTTTCTCTTGTTCTCTACGCCGTTTTTCTTCTTCGGCGAGTTTTTTATTTTCGTTTTGTTCGAGCTCTAACTTTTCAGCTTCCTCCTTTGCTCTCTGTGTCCTTTCTTTTTCAAGTTTCTCGTCTTCTTCGCGTTGCTCTTGTTCTCTACGCCGTTTTTCTTCGTCGGAACGTTTTTTATTTTCGTTTTGTTCGAGCTCTAACTTTTCAGCTTCCTCCTTTGCTCTCTGTGTCCTTTCTTTTTCAAGTTTCTCGTCTTCTTCGCGTTGCTCTTGTTCTCTACGCCGTTTTTCTTCGTCGGAACGTTTTTTATTTTCGTTTTGTTCGAGCTCTAACTTTTCAGCTTCCTCCTTTGCTCTCTGTGTCCTTTCTTTTTCAAGTTTCTCGTCTTCTTCGCGTTGCTCTTGTTCTCTACGCCGTTTTTCTTCGTCGGAACGTTTTTTATTTTCGTTTTGTTCGAGCTCTAACTTTTCAGCTTCCTCCTTTGCTCTCTGTGTCCTTTCTTTTTCAAGTTTCTCGTCTTCTTCGCGTTGCTCTTGTTCTCTACGCCGTTTTTCTTCGTCGGAACGTTTTTTATTTTCGTTTTGTTCGAGCTCTAACTTTGCAGCTTCCTCCTTTTCTGTCTTTACCCTTTCTTTTTCCAGTTTCTCGTCTTGTTCGCGTTGCTCTTGTTCTCTACGTCGATTCTCTTCTTCGGCAAGTCTTTGACTTTCTTTTTGTGTCAATGCTAACTTTTCAGCTTCCTCCTTTTCTTTCTTTACCCTTTCTTTTTCCAGTTTTTCATCTTCTTCGCGTTTCTCTTGTTCTCTACGCCGATTCTCTTCTTCGGCGAGTCTTTGAGTTTCTTTTTGTTCGAGCTCTAACTTTTCAGCTTCCTCCTTTTCTCTCTCTTCTCTTTCTTTTTCCAATTTCTCGTCTTCTTCGCGTTTCTTTTGTTCTCTATGCCGTTTTTCTTTTAAGGCGAGTCTTTGACTTTCTTTTTGTTCGAGCTCTAAGTTTTGAGCTTCCTCCTTTTCTCTCTTTACCCTTTCTTTTTCCAGTTTTTCATCTTCTACGCGTTGCTCTTGTTCTCTACGCTGATTCTTTTCTTCGGCGAGTCTTTGACTTTCTTTTTGTAACAGCACTAACTTTTCAGCTTCCTCTTTTTCTCTCTCTTCCCTTTCTTTTTCCAGTTTCTCGTCTTCTTCGCGTTTCTCTTGTTCTCTACGCCATTTTTCTTCGTCGGCACGTTTTTTATTTTCGTTTTGTTCGAGCTCTAGCTTTTCAGCTTTCTCCTTTTCTTTCTTTACCCTTTTTTTTCCCAGTTTCTCGTCTTCTTCACGTTGCTCTTGTTCTCTACGCCGTTTTTCATCTTCGGCCTGCATTTGACTTTCTTTTCGTTCGAGCTCTAACTTTTCAGCTTCCTCCTTTTCTCTCTCTTCTCTTTCTTTTTCCAATTTCTCGTCTTCTTCGCGTTTCTTTTGTTCTCTATGCCGTTTTTCTTCTAAGGCGAGTCTTTGACTTTCTTTTTGTTCGAGCTCTAACTTTTCAGCTTCCTCCTTTTCTCTCTCTTCTCTTTCTTTTTCCAATTTCTCGTCTTCTTCGCGTTTCTTTTGTTCTCTATGCCGTTTTTCTTCTAAGGCGAGTCTTTGACTTTCTTTTTGTTCGAGCTCTAACTTTTCAGCTTCCTCCTTTTCTCTCTCTTCTCTTTCTTTTTCCAATTTCTCGTCTTCTTCGCGTTTCTTTTGTTCTCTATGCCGTTTTTCTTCTAAGGCGAGTCTTTGACTTTCTTTTTGTTCGAGCTCTAACTTTTCAGCTTCCTCCTTTTCTCTCTCTTCTCTTTCTTTTTCCAATTTCTCGTCTTCTTCGCGTTTCTTTTGTTCTCTATGCCGTTTTTCTTCTAAGGCGAGTCTTTGACTTTCTTTTTGTTCGAGCTCTAACTTTTCAGCTTCCTCCTTTTCTCTCTCTTCTCTTTCTTTTTCCAATTTCTCGTCTTCTTCGCGTTTCTTTTGTTCTCTATGTCGTTTTTCTTCATCGGCCCGTTTTGTGTTTTCATTTTGTTCGAGCTCTAACTTTTCAGCTTCCTCCTTTTCTCTCTCTGTCCTTTCTTTTTCCAGTTTCTCGTCTTCTTCGCGTTGCTCTTGTTCTCTACGCTGATTGTCTTCTAAGGCGAGTCTTTGACTTTCTTTTTGTTCGAGCTCTAACTTTTCAGCTTCCTCCTTTTCTCTCTCTTCTCTTTCTTTTTCCAATTTCTCGTCTTCTTCGCGTTTCTTTTGTTCTCTATGCCGTTTTTCTTCTAAGGCGAGTCTTTGACTTTCTTTTTGTTCGAGCTCTAACTTTTCAGCTTCCTCCTTTTCTCTCTCTTCTCTTTCTTTTTCCAATTTCTCGTCTTCTTCGCGTTTCTTTTGTTCTCTATGCCGTTTTTCTTCTAAGGCGAGTCTTTGACTTTCTTTTTGTTCGAGCTCTAACTTTTCAGCTTCCTCCTTTTCTCTCTCTTCTCTTTCTTTTTCCAATTTCTCGTCTTCTTCGCGTTTCTTTTGTTCTCTATGCCGTTTTTCTTCTAAGGCGAGTCTTTGACTTTCTTTTTGTTCGAGCTCTAACTTTTCAGCTTCCTCCTTTTCTCTCTCTGTCCTTTCTTTTTCCAGTTTCTCGTCTTCTTCGCGTTGCTCTTGTTCTCTACGCTGATTGTCTTCTAAGGCGAGTCTTTGACTTTCTTTTTGTTCGAGCTCTAACTTTTCAGCTTCCTCCTTTTCTCTCTCTGTCCTTTCTTTTTCCAGTTTCTCGTCTTCTTCGCGTTGCTCTTGTTCTCTACGCTGATTGTCTTCTAAGGCGAGTCTTTGACTTTCTTTTTGTTCGAGCTCTAACTTTTCAGCTTCCTCCTTTTCTCTCTCTGTCCTTTCTTTTTCCAGTTTCTCGTCTTCTTCGCGTTGCTCTTGTTCTCTACGCTGATTGTCTTCTAAGGCGAGTCTTTGACTTTCTTTTTGTTCGAGCTCTAACTTTTCAGCTTCCTCCTTTTCTCTCTCTTCTCTTTCTTTTTCCAATTTCTCGTCTTCTTCGCGTTTCTTTTGTTCTCTATGTCGTTTTTCTTCATCGGCCCGTTTTGTGTTTTCATTTTGTTCGAGCTCTAACTTTTCAGCTTCCTCCTTTTCTCTCTCTGTCCTTTCTTTTTCCAGTTTCTCGTCTTCTTCGCGTTGCTCTTGTTCTCTACGCTGATTGTCTTCTAAGGCGAGTCTTTGACTTTCTTTTTGTTCGAGCTCTAACTTTTCAGCTTCCTCCTTTTCTCTCTCTGTCCTTTCTTTTTCCAGTTTCTCGTCTTCTTCGCGTTGCTCTTGTTCTCTACGCTGATTGTCTTCTAAGGCGAGTCTTTGACTTTCTTTTTGTTCGAGCTCTAACTCTTCTGCTTCCTCCATTGTTCTCCTTACCCTTTCTTTTTCCAATTCCTCTGCTTCTGCGTATTCATCTTGTTCGCTATGCAATATTTCTTTTTGTTCCAACTCGAACTGTTCAGCTGTGTTTTTTTCATTATTTTTTCCTGCTTTTTTTAGTTTCTCAGCAGCTTCTCGCTGTTCTTGTTCCCTAAACAATTTTTCTTCGTGAGCTTGTTTTTTACTCCCTTGTCCTTTCAATTCTATTAATTCAGCGTCCTGCTTTTCCTTATTTTCTCTTTCTGTTTCTAGTTTTTCAGTTTCTTGGCATTGATCTATCGCTTTGCCTAGTTTATCTTCTTTCGCTTGTTTTTGATTTTCTTTTTGTTCGAATGCTAACTTTGCTGCTGCTTCCTTTTTTCTTTCCACGTCCTGCTTTCTTTCTTGTTCCAGTGTCTCTACGTTTACGCCTTCTAATTCCTTACGCAATTTTTCTTTTGTGTCTTTTGTTTCTATTTCTTTCTGTTCTGACTTCATCCTATCGCTAATTGTTTTCTCTTCTTCATATGAATCTAGTTTTGCAATTATTTTTCTCAATATTTTTAACTCTTCATTGTTTATTTGGGCAGCATCTGCCAGATTATTTTTATTTTGTTGAATTTCGATTTCCATACCCAATATTTGAGATTCATCGTTTTCCTTATCTTGACTTTCTAATAAGAATTGTTTATTATCTTTATTATCATCGTACATTTCCTCTGACATGGCAGTTTCATCTTCCTTTTGAATTTTATCTTCTTGAAATTTATTCGATTTTCCTTTTTGCATTTCTACTAATTGCTGTTGTTTCTGTTCATTAGACAGTTTTTCTCGGCTTTGTCCAGTATCTGTTTCCATAGATTCAAACATCATGTTCTCATTAATTTTTTCATGTTTTACTTTCTTTATATTTTCATTATTGTCGGTATCTTCTGCAATTAATACTTGCTTTTGGCCTATCATATTCTCTATTTGGTTATTTGTATTATCCACTATTGTTAATTTTTTATCATTATCGTCCACATATTTTATTTTGTATCCGATTTCATCATACCTACATTTTTTTGGTTCACTTGCTTCTAGTTGTTCTTTTTTATCTTCTTTTTCATAATATTCTAGTTTATTACAGTCTGTTTCGTCTTTTCTTTGTATAATTATCGCTTTTTTGCTTTCATTCATCTCTTCAGTACTATCGTTTACATGCATTAAATCTGAAAGTTCTATTTCATAATCCGAAAGCATTTGCATGTCCTTAATAAATGCTAAACGATCACGTAATTCATGTAAAGGATTTAGAAGAGGATATAATGCATCTAAAATATCAGCCTTTCCAGTAAATTCCTTCAAATGCATATAATCTTTTGGCATGATATTATCGTCTAATGATATACTCATTATTTCTGCAACTTCGTTTAAAGAAGAAGATAATTTTGTTAACGCTTGAACATTATCATGTTGCCATGTTTTTGATGACATTGATTCTGTACTGCTATTTAAATTTTGTATTTCAGTAATAGATAAATCTATATTCAATAAATATTTTGAAATTATATTATTTTGGTTAATAATATTTTCTAAAGTTTGTATTGCTTGGAAAAGGGGCGGAGTTTTACAAATGAGTGTTATTGATTCTTGCAATTTTATTAAAGGTTCAATCAGTGAAGCTACCAAAACTTCACCTTTCCCTAATTGCTCTCCTTCTAACACTTTATCTAGTTCGCTTCTATTTATATATTTTAATTCTTCATTTTTTTCAAAAGTTCCTCTGTTATCAAATTTGTCAGCTATTTCAATTTTAAAATTTTCTTTATTATCCGTAGAATCCTTATATTCCTCGTGTTTATTATAAACTTCATTTATAAAATTTTTATTGTTTTTAGTGTCTTGTTGTTGAAGATTGATTTTGTGATTTTCTACTCTTATTCCATTATCAATATTTATGTCTCTTAATTCATCTAATTTATTAATATTTGACATATCTACTATCATTTTATTTAATTCCGTATTTATATTGTCAGATATTGGATGAATTATTGATTTTGTTATTTCATTTATATTATTTATTTCTTCTTGCTGAATTATATTTTCATTTGCATCTTGTTTTACTTCTACAACTGCTAAATTATCTAAAGATACTTGATTTCCTAGTGATAAATTAATTGGCTTTGTCTGCATGTTGTGCTGATGATCTTTATCAGTTGATACGATAATTGGATCTATGGTTTGAATGTCAATATCAAATATTGTTTTATCGATTAAAACTTCATCTGTTGCTAATTGTATAGGAGTTAAAATATCTTGTGTGCTCGTAATTGCAATTTCACTTGGTAATTGCATTTGTTCACTTTTAGTCATAAAAATTTTATTTTCTTCTACTAACCTATTATCTAAATCTTTCAACTGTTCAATATTTTCTTCAGAAATCAACTTTTCCACATCTGTATTTGCTTTTAATAATAGACATTGCACTTCTTGGCTTTGAATATCAAATGATTGTGTTGCTAATTTTTTATTAGCATTTATGATCGCTGATGTATTATCCAATTCTGTATTTGATTTCTTCATAATTTCTTTTATATTTTCTAATTTTAGTGGACATAAAGATTCTATATTACCAAGATTTCCAGTTTCAAATTCTGATAGGTTTATGGTAGATGAATTTAGTCGTTGAATTTTCTGCATTTCTATTGGTATAGATTTTAAATTTTGTAGATTCTCATTATCTAATAGAATTGACATAGTGTTTTCTGTGTTGTGATCGATATTTTCTTTCTGATGTGCTTCAAATTGTTTTAAAAAGTTTTGTCTCTCAGGATAATTCAACGTAATTTTATTTAAGGTCATTGAAATATCGTTTGTTTGATTTATTTTATTCTCAATAGTTTCCAACTGATTAGTAAATAGCAAATCCTTTACTTGAACAAGTTCTAAATTTTTAACTGCAATAAAAGGATCTTGAACTGATTCATTACGCTTTGCATCTATCTCGATTTCTGGTTCTTTATTTAATACATGTTTTAATTCATTACCTTTTTCAATGGAAATTGGCTGTTCGATTTGTTGATAATTCATAATAGTTTGTTCAGAAGAATCATGAATCTCAGTTATTTCATCATCTACTATTTCTTCAGATAATTTACAATGTTGTATTGGTAAACCACTAATAGTAACTTTTTGTTCTGGTGGTGAGATTATAGTTTCATCTTGAATCTTAGTTATTTTAACTTTACTTTCACTTAAATCTTTTATATTTCCTGATTCATAGGAAATTTGTTCTTCAATTATTGAACCTAAACATTCTTTTAATTTCTGTAATGGCGTGATTAATGTTTTTAATGCGTTTGCTACATTAGTGCTACTATATATTTCAACAAAAGTTGTTTTGTGTTCCATTGTATTACTATGCTCTGATAATATAGGTAAATGTTCTCCTAATACTTCTAAAGATGAAGCTAAATTTTTTAATGTCGGCAAGCTATTTTCTTGCCACGAAGTAAAAGTCATTTGCTCAAAATCCTCATTCGTTATATGCTGCAGATCAGCAATAGATTTTTGTAAATCTATTAAACGTTCTATAATTGTGTGGCCCTGGTGCATACTTACATCTCCTTTATCAAATCTACTAATTAATAAAGGGGATTCAATAATTAATGAAATAGATTTCACTAAGTTAAACAAAGGTTCTTTAATTAAAGACCACAATACTGTTGTACTGTCACGATTTTCTGTAACAAAATCTGATTCCGAATCTGGACTATTAAAAGCATATGTTTCAGATTTTTCATGCAATAAATGGTTTGAATAACTGTTATTCGATATTGAAGTTTCCATTAATTTTTCCAATGGTATTACTTCATCATATTTCTCTAAATCTTCATCATTTATTTTTGTAGCAATTCTTGTTATTATTTCATTGGTAAAATCGAGTAATTCATTTTCATTTTGTTCAATCGTTTCTATTGTAGCGAATTTTAATGTAGTTAAACTTTCCAGTTCTCTTTTTGATACCTCAATAAATTCATCAACAAATGTATCGACTGTTGTTAATATAGTTGGAGATTCATCGCATACTAAAATTTCTGTTTTATTATCTTTTTCTTCGTTTATCTTATCATTGTTATTTACAGATAATTGTTTTTTGTCATTTTTTACAGTATCATTACCTTCAGTATATAAATTATTTGTTATACTTTCTGAAATTGCTTTGACAATACTTTTTATATTATTTAATGGAATTAAAACAGCTGTCAATGTTTCAATTATTGAAGCATTTTCGTCAGCACCTTCCTGTATTAATTCATTTTGCAATGTTAATAATGCTGAGCCAAAATTTGAAGTACATTGTTCTAATTCTAGTAAAAGATTCATATCATTTACATGAATATCACAATTTTCAAAATGTTTCATAGATTCTAAAGATGAAAGTAAACGTTGAACCGGATATAGAAAACCTTCGATAATGACTTCTTCATCCAATGATTGTTCCGATGATTCTAATTGCATTTGAGCTACATATACTTGTTTAGATAATGTTTCTAAAGGCTCGACAATAAATTTTAATGTTGTATGATCCATTTTTTCTTCAATAAATGCAATTTTTTCTCCAAGTTGTTGTAACGGCACAATAGTTCTTGTATTTAAAGTTGTTAAACAACTTTGTGGCTGTGCATAATTGGCTTTACTGAAAAAAAATCATAAGTATAAGTATTAAAAAAAAATAGAAAACATGTTCATATTTATTTACTTATTTTATATAGCAAAACTGAATTACCTCACTTGATTTTGAACAATAACCATACCCCAATCTAATGTATTTATAGTTGCAAGTATCAGGTTTTCTATTGGAATTAATTTTCGTGTTTTATTAATGACATTACGAATTTTATCGATACCATTTCTTACTTCTTTAATAGCTAGCAAAATAACATTCTTTCGTTCACCCAACAAAGCTGCTTCAGTAATTGAAGTTTTTCTACTACTTCTAACAACAGATAATGAACTTTGCAATTCAACAAGCGGTTCAATTAGGAACTGCAAAAGTAAGGGCGCCTCTCTATTCTTATCGTCATTACAATCTGCATTATCAACTTGATAAAATAATTCGCTTAATGCGTCTCTAAATTTATTGATCGGATCATTGAGTGTATTTGCAATATCTAATTCTAAATCGCTTTCTTTTAATGTATCTGATGATATTTCGTGCATTCTTTCTCTAATTACTTCAACTGGTTTCAAAACATTCTGTAAGATATTTAACACTTCTTGACGTGAATTTACTTCATCTAGAGCAACGGGAATTTGAGATTCAATATCTTCTAGTGCACGGGCCATTGTGTCCAAACTTATTCGACTCGATGATCTATCACTTTCTACTGTATGCGAATGTGCTTCCAAAGCTAATTGCAATACATTAAATTCAATTGCTCGAATTGGTTGATCAAGACGATTTAAAAGTAATAATTCAGGTGCTCTGTGATCTTGGGTTTGAATTAACGCCTCACGAATTTCTAAAATTGGTTGCAATAATTCCTTTAACGATAGAGAAATTCGTTCAGTGCTTTCACAAGATTCCATATGAGATACTTCAGAATTTTTATTATACACTTCAAGAGCTATTTGTGAAACATTGGATTTAACTGTCATAATAGTTCTTCGAAGATTTTCAAGAGCTTCTGCTAGTCGTGAAACTGGATGAGGTGATATTACAGATTCTTGTTCAAACTCTTCCAAAATGTCTGATACTTGCTGTTGAATTTCTTGTAATGATTGAGATATTACTACAGCAAATTCTTCTTTTGGATAAATTACATATTTATCTAATTTTTTTTTAGTTAGCTGTGTCGATTCGCTATCAACTTCGGAAACTGGAGTTATCGCTGCTACTGTATTTACATTTGATAATAGCTGGGCCGATATTTTATTCGATTCTGACACCTTAGAATCATTAGATAATTTTTCTATGGATATAAGATCAGAGCTTTTTACCATCTTATTATCCGTACTTGAATTTTGTGTATTTTCACTTTTGTTTTGCTGTATATTTTTATTTTCAATATTTGAAATATTTTTGTATTGTATATTACATTCTTCATTAGTGTTCTGATTGTTATTTATATTTGTATAAAATATTATATCTTTTTTCATGTCGTCTACTATATTTATAACTGAATTAATATTCTGCGTCGAAACAATTTTATCATCAAAGTTTATTAATAATGTCTGTAAGCTGAAAAGGTATTATAACACGATTAATTAATTCAAAACATATTAAAAACTAATAGATTTTATGTAACTGCATACCTTTTTAATGGTTCTAATAACTGAATAATTATTCGTTTTTGCTGTATCTCACTCTCTGAATTGAACAAAAGACTTTGTAATTTAAATAATGGTTGTTTTAAATTACATAATTCTTCTACATATCTGTTTATATTTGGTTCCATCTTCATAGTTAATTTATCTACTTCGATGGCTATATTTCCAATACTTTGTCGTAATTCGAAGATTTTGGAAAAAATAGGTTTCTCAATATTGTCTAAATTTTCGCTTTTCTCAAGAATTATGCCCAATTCAAAATGAACTGTACTTAATTCCGAAGTCATTTGTAAATCATTTATTTTTTGCTGCAATTCATTATTTATTTGTAATTCACAATTTTCATTTGCAACACTTATTAAAGCATTTTTACTTTCTCCAAGATTTTCCCTTGTTATAGGAATTTGTTGTTTTAATTCTTCAATTATAGTAAATATTGATTTAATTGTATCTGAACAATCACTTTTAGATTTAAATTTTTTTATGTATTGAATTACAGTATTGATAACTTTTTGTAATGAAGTCAGAGAAGGAATAATATTTTTTGTGATTGAAATTTCCCCCGATGCACAAACGTCTGTAAGTGATAACTTCAAACTAATTAAAGGTTCCTTTAAATTTATTATTGCTTGAATCGTTTCATCTTCTTTTAGTGTTGTAGTTTTATGCACTGCAAGTGATACACCTTCTCTTAATTCAGCTAAGTTCAATGCTAATGATGACATGCTAAAACGTTTAATTTCTTCTTCACAACTTCTTTGTTGTATTTCATATAGAACATTATTAACAGCTGTCTGAACATCAACAAGACTATCAAGAATTAATTCTGATAAATGGTGAGCATTATCAAAACAATCAAATTGTTTATCTTCAGATTTTGATAATTCTTCAGCAGCTGCTACTAACGATGTCTTTAAATTAATAACAAAATTTGTTCTATAATCACTTTCATATCCTTCAAGCGCAACAACTAATGCATCTAATCTCGATAGCATTTCATTAAATGAATGAGACATTTTCATCATTACTTCTGATAAATTATCGGAATATGCTCCTTGAAACAAATACTTAGATGATCGTTCTAAATCTTCTAAAGGTCGTGAAAGCGATTCAACAAGTACGGCATCAATATTTTCTGTCCATCCACCAAACTAAAAATATTAAAAATAAAAAACTTACTAATGTATTTAAATACTGAAAAATAGAAGTTCAATCTAATTTACATTCTAATTAATGGCCTCTGTCAAATGCTTTTATAAACAAACCTACTTTACAAATTTTAGTAAATTTAATTTTAATAATGTTTCTATATATAAAATTTATATATATTACTATTAGTTCAACGAGGTATTATATTTTTAAATTGATTTTATATGATATTGATTAAAATGTGATGAATTATCAAAAATTTCAATCATGCAGAAAGTAAATCTTTGTAAATACTCAATATTATTAATATGAAAAAAATTAATTATTTTTAGTCTTACTTGATTCAATATAATACTATTTAAATATGCATTCAATATTTGATGAATATTCTGTAAAGTTATAATTATTGGTGTTTTCATTTCGTTATTTACATATTGAAGATTAGATCCTAATCTATTCGCTATTCGTTTAGTTCGTTCAAAAATAACTGGACTTTCAGTTATATTTCGACCAGATAATTCATATTCCAGTTTTGCTAAGCCAAAAATAATCTCATCAATTGGATCAACTAGTGATTCCAGTATTGATAAATTTATTTGAATATTGCCCTCATTTTCTTGACGTCCTATTAATTCTAAGGCTCTTAACAGTTCTTCGGTTGGTCCACCAATATTTTCTAAAATTGAAATTCGCACATTTTGAATTGACGATCTGTCACCAGCATGCTTCAAAGCTTTTGTCTCAATGTCGGTTATTATTTCACAAAGATTTTGAATGGGAACTACGATATTATTGGTTACAATCGTGTTAATGATTTCCTCATCTCGAATGCAATAGTCGGAGTCTATTAAAGTTTCTCTTACAATTAAAACAGGATCAGAAATTTGTCGGAGCAAATCAACAAATTTTTCTTTGTTAAATTTCTTAATGCGTTCTTCATGTTCATTATCACTTGATACCATAGATTTTATTGATTTTCTATCTGCTTGATTATTTTCTATAGATACAAAAAGCTCCTCCAAACTATCTCTTTCTCCTAATCGTTGTTTTTTATTTAATTTGTTTGTTTTAATTTTTGATTTCACAGATTTTTCAGAAACAGAATCTAACGATTTATCACTGGTCTCGAAACTAAAGTCATCGTAAATAGTTCGCTTTTTGTTTTTATTATCCATTGCAATACTATCGGTTTTGATACTAACTGAGGAAAGAGCATCCGCAAATACTTCACTGTCAATGTCCATTTCAAAATGATCTTTGTCCTGTTTTAACGTAATTAATGGTTCCTTAGCACTATGGTAACTTTCTGATTCTTGTTGGTCTTGTATTTTTGAAAAAACGCTTCCTGATTTCCTCCTTGGTGGACGAATGGGTATTCTCCCTTCCTCTGCTGATTCAGTTAACGGTGGAGATGAAAATGAAACACCATCTACGGTCGATATATCTTCAAGATCAGCGTCAGTGCATAAATCATCTCCTTCTTCAACACTAGCAAAATAATTTGGAGGTACATCAATAACTACTGCTTCCATTAATAAATTTCCAGATGTAGAAGTTTCTTTAACAAATCGCATTGGTGGTAACTCCACAACATTATGTTCTAGAAAATAATGATATTAAATCTTGTGTAATGTAATATTAAAATTTAGATACATAAACAAATATATATAAAAAAGTACATAAACTATACATAAACGTTTATTATATTATATAATTAGAATTATTATATCAAACCTGTAATGTGTTCAGAAAGTTGATCTGCATACATTTCAACTACTTGTAAAGCTTCTTCTTCTGTAAGATCAGGAGTTTCATAAAGGCTGACCGAAACTTCTTTTCCATCAAAACTAAAAGAAACTTCACCTCGATCATCAACAGTCACGGAATGATCAGTTTGTGCTGTATCTACAAGCTGTGATGTTCTTTCCTCGTGAATTGTTGATAATGAAAGATTTCGAGCTAGTTCTTGTTCACGCTCTATTTGAGATAGTATTGGTGATGTAACATCAAATAATTGAGCTGAAGCAACGCGATCTAAAAAATAAGATATTTTTAAATAGTATTTAAAATTATTAAAATATAGACAGCTTTAGATGATTCAATTGATTTTAACAAAATTAATATATATATATATATATATATAACTATAATATATCTAACATAGATAAATATAATAGTTTTGTCCCTTATCTTATGAATGATGAAGGTACATAATGTTTTTAAATTAATGTCTTTTAATCAATAATTGTATATAAATATACACTATATAAATATTATTTAATCATTATGTTCATTCATTTTCAATTTCTAATTGAATAAAGATTATGGCTGAATCTTCGTGAAATCAATAAAATTAATAAATCAACTGATAATGTAAAACAAAAATAAAATGATAGATTTTTGATATACCTAAGAAATTGAAATACGTTACCTTCAAAACCAAGAAGAGACGCTGAGCTACATACGGTTCCCATACAATTGATTGCTTCACATGTATAAGTACCTAAACAACATGTTCCATCTTTACCAGAAATTATTCTATGAATATCACCAGGCTTAAGTTCTTCTCCATCCTTATACCATTTTAATATAGGTTGTGGAATACCAATAACCTTACACTCAAGGTTAACTGCGCCGCCATCGGATAAAATAGCACGTAAATTCTCCAAAAATTTAGGCTTCTTGTAATGTTTTGGAATGATGAGTTTGAGGAAGCAGGAAGTTATGCTATGACCAAAATCGTTACTGGCAATACATTTCCACTCGGCTTGATCGCAAAATTCAAGTTTTTGAATTTCTAAATGACAAATGCCGAGTGTTTCTTGTTCTACTCGATATTTCTCTTCATTATTTATTGGATGATCGTCGCGATACCACACTAGACTAGGTTCAGGCAAAACACTAACTAAAATATTTTAAAAACTCTATGTAATTACTGTTAAACAAATGAAATTACAAAAATTCATTTTAATAATTTGAACATTTTCCCACCTTGTACGGAAAATTTAAAGTTGTCACTAATTCTGGCTTCGGCACTTCTTAAACCTTTTATAAATTTTGGTGGTTGATTTGTAGTTAAAAGTTGTAGTCGTTCTTCTTCATTTAATTGATTCTGGATGTCTTCAACAGTGAGTTCAGCTGTACTTTTGGCATAACCCATACAGTTTCTTGCTATACAACAGTATGATCCTATAAAATATAAATTATATCTTATTAGATTTATACTATTATATTATGTTTGTTTCTATTTATAATTACCTAAAGAATTAGTTCCTGTTAATTGATAAACATCACCAGGCTTAAGTTCCTGTCCATCTTTGAACCATCTTAATAAAGGAGTTGGAAAACCTACCACTTTACATTCAAATGATACAAGTCCTTCATCCGTCAATACTGCCTTTAAGCTCTCCATAAATCGAGGCTTTCTATAGTTTTTTGGAACTACCAATAAAATATATAATAAATGTATGATATAAAAAAAAACTATTTATTTATAATTAAAAAGTTTATTGGACATAAACTTACTGGACATTGCGACAAAACATGTTGTAAATTGTTTAACATTATCCTCACTGGTTGCAACACATTTCCACTCGCCTTCGTCTATAGCTTCCGCTGGATGTACTTGAATTGAATAACCGCCAAGTCCATCTTCTATAATTTTGTAGCGATCATTTGCCTCTACACGTCCTTCTTTATTGTACCAAGTAATTTCCTTAGGCCAAGGTGGCACTTGAACTAAAATAAACAATAATAGCATATGTATTTGGAAATAAATATTTAAATTTTGCTATAAAAAATTTTAATCTATTCTTTTAAATATTCACTAAGTTTTATGGTGTTTATTACCCTGACAAGATAGTAAAATACTTTCTCCAATTTTACAGGAATCGTCTCTTAAAATTTTTTTAAAAATTGGAGGATCTCCAGTTACTATTAAACTATCAGCCGGTCTTAAAGATCCTTCCCTGCTTCCTCTACCGACAATATGAACCTGAAAAAAGAAGTTAATTGTGTTATTATTAAAGAGGTATGAACAACTAAATCAATATTTTATTTGTGATACTATATAGTGCAAATTGATCAAATTAATGAATCTCACTCACTTTAGATGACGAGTAAGCAGTACCCATACAATTAACTGCTTCACATTTGTATACTCCTAAAGATGTGGGATCATCGGGATTAGCAGTCAATGCAAAAACATCGCCAGCTTTAATTTCTTTCTCATCTTTAAACCATTTTAAAACTGGTGTGGGGACTCCAATAACTTTACATTCTAATGATACAGTGCCAGTTTCTGTCAATAACGCACGAAGTTCACTTACAAATTGTGGCTTTTTATAGGCTTTTGGAACTAAAACATATATAAAATGTTTGGAACAGTGAGAATAACTTTTATAACGTTTTGAAAAAGATAAAAATAAAAAGATGTCGAATTATTAATTAACTTAAATGTTTATATAATTAATAATATTTAAAGCCTAAATGAGTTATTTACATATATCAAGCTTTAATTAAAACAAAATGTATTTATTACAATTTTTCTATACAGATTTAAACAAAATTTGGTATAAATATGTTTTCTATAAATATTTTATTTGTATATTAGAACATTATATTAATATCATATTAATTATACTAATAATGAATATTAAAGAATAGACAAATTTAATTTATAATACAATTGTATTATATTAATGATAAAAAAAATCATAAAACTGTCGATTTATTTATTGCATTATCACTTCAGCTTTTATATTATATGCAAATTCAGACAGTCATAGCGATAAATTTTTTTAATAATATGCATTTATTTTTATAACGATCTAATTCTAATATTAACATTATATATATATATATATATATATATATATATCAATAAATCTCTTCTATATGATTCTTTCCTATAAATGTGTGTTAGAAAAAATAAAAAATATAATTTTTAATACAATTATTCAGTTCAGCAAACCATTAAAATATTTAAGATTATCTAGTAATAGGCCATTCAATATAGACCGCTAAACAAGCGATAAAACTATAGTCAATAAAAGCAAGCTTTTTATTAATAATATTAGTTTACATAATTAGATATTTTGATATTTAATATGTATTTGGGATAGTTTATAGTAGTTAAATAGAATATATTTTCTATTTAAATTATTTTTTAAATCAACGTATTTATAATACACAATTATTAAGTTTTACTATTTTATTTTAAATAATTAAATATCCATATCAAACATAACGCTTTTTCATAGTTATCGCTTGATATATGATCGATCGAATATATATAATATATTTATTAAATATATAATTAAATATTAATTAAAGTACTTGCCTTACATCACATAAAATTGCAAATAATAAGTAAATTAAAATTTATTAAAATTAAAATTATTTTTTTATCAAAGTACATTTGTATCAGCAAGATAAATCCTATTAATATTTATAAAATACACAAGAGGAAAACAATGATTGGGTAATTGAATTCGTTTATTGAAAGCGCTATTCGTCATTAGTAGCACGTGAGATTGTACGTTTCACTCAACACAAGTGTTTATCCAACATATATTTACCTAAGACGTTGAGGTGCGAGGTGCAGGATGAGCGTCCCGAACGATTTTCTGCCATGCAAGTCCAGTGGCCTTGATCCTCGACGGTGACCGGTGCAACATCCACACAATAAAAGTTGCCCTCATGGACGATGGAAAGACGCGATCCCGTATGGATCGGTACGTCATTTCTGTGCCAAGTCACCTAAAATTGGTTTATTATTAAAGATACTATTCGAGCTCCGTAATAGCCTTTAACCGACCCTTTCTTGAAAGTAGCCGAATGCTGTAAATCTAATTACGTCACCCAGCTGAGAAAACGCATCAGAGCATTATTTAATATTACAGTCATTGTAATGCCCGGCTTATATGAATTCGTTGATGATCGAAGATACATAAGTATATGGTGTGGCTTACTTTCACTCAAAATGAAATTTGTTTTTACATTTATTTATTTTTTGCTTGCATTGCTTCGACTAAATTTTATGTGCGTGTAAATAGCCAAATTTTCTGATCTGCTAGAAGAATATGTTACAATATTAATACTAATTGTCTATAACAATTTTAAATATACATATAATTATATATATATATATGCAGATAGTTCATGAAGCAACGAAAATTCACTAACATTAATTTTAAAAAGCCTTTCTTAATAATAAATTTGTATATTCTATCTTTAAATATTACTACTTCAATGATTATTTGAAAAATGTCATTATGACTCACAAATCAATTTGTTCAGGTTATCGTAGGAAGTACAATAAATTGAAAATCTATTTAAAAATCTGCTTTTATTTTCATAGTATAATCATAAAATCGTTGAAATATAACCGTTCTCTCTTTTAGCAGATCTTTGTTAACTAATAGCAATTACTCAACACAGGATGTGAAAAAATAATAAATAATAATAATATATTAAATAAAATATATATCAACTATATTCGTTAGTTTCTAGGCCAATATTCGCAGTGTTTATTTCGATTATATTCTATAAAAAGTTAAAAATATAAATTCCAGTGCAAATAAATTAATATGAATCATGAATTTCTTTTTTTAGAATATTTTTGAACATCCTAACTAAAATAAATCTTTAATTTCCAAACTAAATAGTTTTAGTTTTCAACATGTTCCAACATTCGAAATTTCTCACTCAGATAAATATAAATGTGAGATTAATAAACTAACTGTTTATACTATTTGATAAACGTAAGTAAAGATAAGATGAAAAAATAAAATGATTTTAATAAATCAAAAGAATTTAAATGAAACCAATTTTTAATTATAAAATTAAAGCGATGTCGTATAATATTATTATTTCGCTTATACAAACGAAAATCTTCTAAACAAAGAGAACAAAACACTTGTTTAATATAAATATTTCATGTAAAAATTGAAAGTTAATTATAAAGCATACTTTTCAAAATTTCAGGATAACAAAATACTAAAAATAATTTAACGATAATACAGTAAGTATATGAATTTATAACATTATAATATTACAAAATAATTTATTGTAAAGACATTTTCATCTTAACAATCTTACATCATCAACTTAGAAGCGTTTAAAATTGAAACCCAAGAATACCATTCATATATCAATCTTCGTTACCTATCAGATGTCTCAAAATCAATAAATCTTTAAGTAGGCCTTCCGTTATTTATAATCATTATCTAATCCCGAAAAAGGAATGCTAGATAAAGCGCTTACATTTTGTCCAAAAAATAAAAGCATCGAATCTAAAATTAAATCAATTAACCGTGGCGCGTGTTCCCTCAAATACCAAGTGCGAGCTTCTTTTTGCTCGGGTGGCTCCAGGGAAGTCATTTATGGAGTCCGTGAGCTGGGCAAAAGTGCATTCTCTGGGAAAGCGGTACATAATAATAGTGCGCGCGAGGGTCGTGGACCTCTTCAATTTGCGGTCGGCAAGTAAGTTCATCGGTCAGACACGCGTCCGAGAAAATGCGGAAGTCATTGGCGCAGCATTCGAGATTTTAGAATATGAAAACCGAAATGTACTGTAAACTCCCCGTTTACTTTTACTTTAGGCGAACGCTATGCATACGCCAAATTTAGATGACTTATCTAAACTAACCTTTTTCTCTAATTGTCTACTTTTATTATCATAAAATTTACATAGCTTGCACTTCACTACATTTTAATCCTGAATCATTATTTTCATACAGTAATTATATTTAAAAAAATATTCCTTCTTCAACTAATAATAATATAATCAATCCTTTTTAACATGAATTATATTTTTTTAATAATTAGTTTTAAATTCTTATTAAAAATTTATTATTATTATTGTGTAATACGATAATAAGATATTATGTAATTATTGTACATTAATTTAGAATTAACTTCGAATAGCCAGCAATTTTAATGTACAAGTTTGAAATGATTAACAAAACATTAACTTTATAAATTCGCAAGTCGAGAAATACTAATAGATTAAAGCTTTATATTAAAACACTCTTTTTAATATATTATAATCAGTCGTTTCTAGTATACGGATCAATACATATCTAATTTTCAAAAATATATAAATCTATAAATTTTCTGCAATCTAGTGTCTACAGTTGTCAGTTTAATTATTTCAATTATTTAACCGCTGAATTTGAACACCATACAAATTTTTAAAAAAATACAGCCTTTATATTTTAAGCTAGATATAATGGCTTTTATATGAAAAATTTATGTTAAAACGGTAATAAGTGAGACCGACCTTAGGATCGATGGGACTACGTATCTCTACCAGAAAACGCGTCCTTGTTCCAACCTTAACGGTAAGATCAGTCAGCCGTCGTAAGAAGAAGGGTGGTTCGCCCTCCTCGGTGAAGGAGGGCTCATCGACACTCATGTAGACGCGTCTTGCGAAAAGCCGCTCGGATTCGTTGTCATGTGGTAGTTTCTTCGCAACAAGAGCGTAATGACCCGCGTCTCCTTTGCTTGCGTGCTGTAAAGTCAGTTGTACCACGTTACCCCGGGTTTCAACATGAAAGCGGTTACTGGGCATGGGTGGCTCCCCTCGATACCTAAGTTACAATATATGATCAGCAAAAATAGGCTTCTTTCTATAAAGCTTTTCACTGTGAAAGTTTTGGAACAAATACAATGTATAATTATATTTAATCAAAATGAAAACAATCTCATTTTACACTCTTAGATCTTAAATAGTATGTTTCATTACTTTGTATTAATATTTAAGACATAATTATTGTTTTTACGTGTATTTTATGATTTATTACACATAAATCAATTTTGGATATTTCATAATAAGAATAAAAGAATATGAAGTAATAAGAATGTACATTATTTACTTATATCAATGCATACGTATTCTTCATGTTAAATTAACATTTAACATTTTTATTATTATCAAATAATAAGTTTTTATCAATAATAATCACAGTAATGATTATTTACTTTATTGTAATAAATGTATTGCAATTGTCTATTAACATAATTTCTTCTCATACATATCTGGTCTCATAAAATAAGTTATATATTTCCAAAAGAATATATTTATTTTTTGAAATGATAATAAATTAAATTAAGGATGTAAATCAAATCCTAGTCGATTAACTGTATTTCATAAAATACACATATCTCATAAAGCCTCATATTCCTTTCGTACCATACTTACATTTCAGAACAAACAATCGAAAATATTAAATTCAAGTAATTAAATTAAATAATATTATAAAGCATTATGTTACCCGTTAATTTAAAACTTTGTTTTTAAGATTTATATTTTCAAGTACAAGAATAGAAATAATATATACAATTACTATTATATATATCGTTTATATATTTACGAAAAGCTAATACTTTTTCATACATAAGGCTCATTGTAATATTTTTATTTATGTCAAAAAAAAAAAATATATATATATATAAAGTTAAGTTAATATTAGTTAAGCTAGTTAACGAAATCTTATAAGTATCAACCTTTATATTAAGTAATATCTTGAGAAGATAAAACTACTATAAATTTATTTTACTATTAAATACTTTTATTTTTATATTATTTAAACTTCAGAATATTCATCGAACCTAATGGATTTTTAATTATAATATAAACATAATTTATAATATAAGCATATCCAATATCAATAAACAAATCATACTCAAATCATGTACAATTACGTGATAATATCGTTATAAGAATTTTATTTAATGTTATTATTTTTCTTAAATTACTTAGAATTATATAATAATTGAAAAATATTCGACTAATATTTCTACAAGCTTTATTCAAATTATAGTTATTTTTATATAAAATTACCTGCTTTAATTTAATAATGAGATTGCATATTTGTATATGTTTTGCTTAAATAGCCAGAATTTAAAAATATTAAATTTTAACTGAAAATTATTTCTAAAAATAAAAATAATCAAATAACTAGAACGATTATTTTCAAATAAAAGTATAAAACATTCTACTTAAATAATTATATTTTATACACTTAAAAAATTTTAATTTAATTAAAAATCAATAAAAAATTAATCAATTTTATTCATATTTTTTTTGTTGTTTTTATGAAAAAGAGTAGAACCCCACATTTACTTTGATACGAATTCCTTTCTCATTTTGTAACTAGCACTTATGGAATAGTTTAACAGATAGATCAATAGGCCATAATTGAATGATTCGATTATTTGTATAAACTTAATTAGATGTATGAAGTAATAATTTATTCGCTTTTCTATAAATATGTTCACAATTACTGCAAAGCTACTTGAGAAAGAAAATATCGAATGACGATTTGCAAAATTTATACAATAAACCATATAAACATTGTAGGGAATAATTTATATTTGATGCAGTTTTACTAGCATAATTTATTTTATTAAAGTTCAGTTATTGGGGACGCATCTTCTGATAAATATGTTTGTCATTCGGTAGACTGAAGTTCGCATTGTACAAATTCTTGCCGTCTCGGCAAAATCATCCGAATTCCGTAAGTCCGATGACTTCAGGGCATCAGAGCATCCGAGTGAACGCCAACCTTGAACGCGTAATGAACGTATGAAATTCGCCGCTCGCCCATTATAGTAGAAAGCACACTTTCTACTATCCTTCCTACTCCTTTCTACTCTCTCTCTCTCTCTCTCTCTCTCTCTCTCTCTCTCTCTCTCTCTCTATTTTCTGTTCCTTTATTTTTTAGCGTCAAAAAGCTGAGGTGCTTTCAGTTTATCGCGTATGCGTACTTGTAATTATTTTAAATCGCTTATTGTATAAATGATGAGATAATACAGCTGTAATGATGATAGATAGGGAGCTGTGGTATTATCGCAAAAATCGGAAAAAGATATTTTTTTCTGTCCGAATAAAATAAAAGAAAATTTAAACTTAACTGAAGTAAAATATTTATTCAAATCTCAAATTCTGTTAGTTTTAATAAATAATAAATATAATAATTATATCATTACCATTTATTATAGGTCTCACTAAAACAGTTCAAATAAAATTATTCAGATATGTGTCAGAGCTGATATGTATGTTCTATATTATTATATATTATTATCGTTATATAGAAGTATCAAAAATATAATCTTTATGATATAAAAGCAAAGAAAAATTCATATTTAAAATTTTAAGTCTTTGCTATTTAGAGAATAATACTGCAGAAAATTCAAGAAAATATCTTAATTCAACTAACTATTCTTAATTCTGATAATATGTATTTCGTCGTGACATAACTGAAGTTTATAACCCTCTCTCAAAACATGGAGTTAATATTTTCAAATAAAAACCTCTATTATATTTTCAAGTTATTATAGTAGAAAAAATGACATAGTATATTATACTATATCTTTATATAAATGACATAATATGTATTTGTATGTAATATAACAATTTTGTAGAATAGTTATTATGATCACCATACTAAATATCAGCTATATAGTAGTGACCGCTAAAATCACTAATTTATTCAATAAAAAATTTATAATATATTATCACTTTTAATCGTTATTAAAGCAATTTATTTCAAAATCAGGATACTTGTTTATCATTTATTTTGAATTTATTGTCTTATATTAAGTTGTAATATAATAGCATTTTCTAAAAAAATTTTGTATATTATCGTTAATTTTATATTTTAGCATCTCTCTCATATTAATAGTAAGTAATTTAATTTAATTAAAATAAAAATTATTTTTATAAGTTATAATAAAAGTATTTGGAATTGGTTCCAATTATTCATAACATATTATATACAATAGTATTTATACCATTTATTTTGTAGAAACATTTCTATTTATTAATCAAAACAATAAATACGTAAAAAAATAATGTCAATGCTGAAATTTTTAGAAGTTGCAAGTCTCTATAATTTTATAATTTATAAAGAAAATTAATTTTTTCTTATATTATTATTTAACAGTCCGCAAGGTTAGGTGCATTATGGCATTATGAACAAAAAAGATGAAACATCTATAAAGAAATTTTCTATACAATCAAGTGGACTACATTCACACATATTTGATTTTAAAATTATATTCACATTATAATTATATTATAATAAAACATACTAGTGCTATTTCAACTATATAATAAAATAATAAAATCTTGTAAAATAGTTTTAAATGTACTAAATAATATGGTGACGCTAATTTAATATACGAAATCTTTTTTTTTAAATTACAACTTTAATAAAGTGAATAATTATAATCATTGTAAGTTAATATTTTATTTGCATTTATTATCGTACTTATTATTTATTTTCAATTCATTAAGCTAATTAACATTAGAAATGATAATTTCATTTATTTTTATATCTTTTACTGAAATAAGATAAAGTACATATGTTAAAAGAATATAATTATAAAAAATAAATTATGCGCTCAAAATTATTTAATGAAATTTTATATGAATCATTCTTGTAAAAGTGTCGTATGTATAAAATAATTTTGAAACGTTTATTTAATATTTTAATACTTTTCTTATATATTTCACTATTCTTTATGTATTGAAGAGATTTTTATTAATTTTTATTAAATTTTCCTACGAATTATAATATTAAAGTGAATATTTAAAATTATTTTATTATTATAACAATTGCTACAATAATTATGAGTGATATATTTATGTATATGTATATGCAATATTAATGTCTTCAGATAAAATTAAATTCATAAAATTAACTTAACGTATAGTTTACTAATGGTTTCACTAAATACGAGATTTATAAAGCAAGTACTTGAATTAGTAGCAACTAAATGTAATGGTTTGAAACTCGTACTATTAATAATAATATTTCATTAACAATGTACGAAATAGGAAAACATTAAAATTGTTTCGTTTTCCTATTTTAACTGATTAAGCTTTTTCGAATCATCAGATTTATCTATATAGTTATGTCACAATGTGTGTAAAGTGGTGAGCTTACGTCAGTTTTGTACGCGCATGAACAAGCTTAGAGCAATGCTTTGCGATATTTCTAGACGTTGTGCGCCGGCGCTGTGAATCTTCATTAAATGAATTTTCTTTTCCGCATGCTCGCGCGCTTTTAAGCTATTGGCTTGCCCATGTGGACCTTTATTTACGCCGATTGTTATTCACTACGCGTATAGTGCATTTTTATCGACTTTCGGCGACGCATCTCCCTTTATTTTCCGTAAAATTTTCTTCTTTTAGTACTGAATAGTTTGTTAATTTTTCAAAAGTTCGGTTTAAAACTTATCATTCAAGTAACTGCTTGAATTTAAATACTTCAATAGACTTTATATAAATATTTCACTAATTTAGTTTAAAATTATAGTTTTAAATGTACTATATTGATATATCAATGACGCCTATAATATGTCCGATACATTTTGTTTCTGATTTCATTTATATAAATAACTTATAAATAGAATATAAATAATATAAGTACTAAACCACTTTTCCATAAATAAACTGAATTATTTGGACCTTCAATTCTACTTTAATGTTCTAACGATTAACGTACCGTTTTTATTTATCTATCAAAACTTTTGTATAGTTTCACCAGTATATATTATGAATTTTTTTTATTGTGATTGATTTGAGTTACTAATATTGCCCATTTAAGTTAAAAAACATAACTTTTTTATCTGTTTTCATTCGTTTAAAGAACAAATATTTGGTTGATAGTTCAGCAAATTAATATTATTAAATTAATAATTGATAATACAGTACAGTAAATAATATTTTTATAATCCTGTGAATATTTCATATGTACTTCATTTAATTTATTTACAATATATTTTATATATCCAAATTACTTTCTCGAAAACTTTAAAAAGTGTCTTATTTAATTATTGGAAAAACGATTTGAGAGATAAAGCTATTTTTAATTTATTTAGAAAAATGATTTTGATAATACGTATTAAAATATTTCTGCCTAATGATTAATAAGTTTGTTTATTCTGTATAGAAACGAATACTTCTAATGGAACGTAAAAACTTCCAATTGGACTGTAACCAACATGTAACTTATTTTTTATAGATAAAAATGACCGAAATACCTTTTGTTGTCTAAGAATAACGATTAGCATTAGCCAAGGTATAAGTCAGATAAAGAACTAATTAACAATTACTCATCGTTTGATCTAAGTTATTTAGTTAAAAATTATTACATCGAGCCATACATGAATTCTACAAAGTACCAAAATTTTTTTCTATTTTTACACTACGACTTATTAAATTAATAACTTTGTTTAATTTAAGTAATTTTCACTAAATTTTGTAATCTTTAACATTATTCAAATAATTAGAATTGGAAAAGTTATAATTAAATGTTTCTTTATAATGGTGGTTATAAAAAGATCAAGAAATAAATTATTAATATGTACAAATATCTGTTTTTAAAAACTGAATTAATAGAGTGTCACTGAAAAAACGAATATTGAAAACTGAGCGATTCTGGTAAATATTAGTAATGAAAGGTTCATACACTAACTTCGAATAGTTTTATCTACTTGAAAAATTAAAGAGCACGAAGGTTAAATCATGAAATAACATTACCGATATCTAGATCGATGAGATTGATCCAAGATATAGTTTTTCTCCTTGTCGCATTTACAGCACTGACTTCCCATGACTCGTCGTCTATGATTTCACGATCGCAGAAACCCTCACGATCCATCGATTGCCTTCATCACTTGTAGCGTAGATTTTCTAAATGTAGAAAATCTGAGGCCAATCGATTTTAAGGATCATCTTGCCTCTATTTGCGTCAAGCTATTGTAACGTGGATCCATCAGAAACAAGGAATATCAATTTCCGCCGATACATGCTCAATTTCCCGCATTCCTCCACCTTCACCGTCTCGACCGAAGCCGCAACGACTCGGTCTTTAACCGCACACTTTCTTCAGCTGGATAAGAGATCACTGATTTGAGCCGGAAGTCGGTAGCCGCCTGCTGGAACGCGATTTAACGTCGAGACAGTCAAGGGTGAAGGAAGCAAGGCGCGAGCGTCGCGTTAAATGAGTGCGCGTCGCGCCACCAAAGTGGCCCCGGCCTATTTCGACGCGTCGCGGCGCTGCTGATATTCGACGAATAGATGTTGCGACCCTTTCTGAGCGTTTCGTCAAAAGCTGACAAGTTACAAATCTAATGAAAGTTCTACGGCTAATTTACCATTGAAATCCACAAGGTTTTTACAAACCAATGCGATGCTGTTGTAGTACTGAAGGGTATAGCCGAAACAATGCGCATCAGTCTGTATCTATTTTTAGATGCGAGACTCTGTGTACATGTGAGTCAGGGAGACCTGGTTCTTAAACTATTTATTGGAAATAAAATAAACGTAAATGAAATTATATTTTTAGCCCCGTTATGAACAAGATACTTTGCTGTCTTTGATTCTAATTTTAATATATTTATTTCAAATTTCCATACATATTGTGTATGTTACGTATGAATTATGACTACATGTATTAACTGATTAACATTCAATACTATTAAATACAATACTTTTGTTCTTAGTAGCAATGAAATCTCTACTTTTAACTTAAAGAAAAAATTATCATATAATAAGCTGCTTAAAATACCGTGTACTATATGTAAGTATTAATTATAAAAACATAATAATAATCATTTAAAGAATAAAATAATAATTCAGTTTATATACAAATTAAATAATTTTGTACATAATATATAAATTAATTGATTATAATTTACAATATTTACATATAATATTTAAATATGAAACATTTAATTTTTTGAAACGATAATTCCTTCATTGTAAAATTTTTTACTGTACCTAATATTCTAACACATTTGTATACTCTGGCATGCATAAAATAGGTCAAGAACCTGGATGCTCGTCGTCATGGATTTTGAACTTGAAAAATTTTATTGGCTTTGATATTACAACAAACTGGATGGAACGTTGACGTAATATCATTCAACAACAGCCTTCAAACACGCAGAAAAAAACAAACGTATATTTCTTATTTTACAATTAAAATTCTTTGGAATTTAAACAAAAAAAAAATTTCAATTTTAAGAATATACAGTTTTTAAATATACCATTAGAAATTAGTTTTATTCAAAATATTATAATGTTAATTTAAATATTATAAAATAAGTCAGTACTATAATTAAAAATAAATCAACATTACTTTTTAAACAAAATATAGCCTTTTAAAATATCTAATTCAAGTACTGCATAAGTAATTTGAGTACTGTATTACAATTTACGATACACGAATATGTACATAAATTTATCACCGCCTAAATTTATGGAGAATTATTTCAATTCAAATCCATATATATTAATATTCTTTCATTTAAATAGAATATATAATTAATATATAAATATATACATATGTATATTAATTTTATATCGTAAATATTTATAGAAGCACAAGTTAAATAACAAAAGAAATTGAGCATAAGTAGAAATATTGAGAAGAAAGGACAAAAAAGAATATAGTGGATAAAGTAACATATAAAAATAAACTATAATATTGATATAACAGAAAAATAATACAAAATAAAATTCAAATTATTACAAATTTGAAGGAAAGTTATTTCAAAAACTAGAAGGTACAGAATATGTAGGCATAAATATAAAATTCCTTTAATGAAATATAATAAATAGATCAAAACGTAATGTATAATAAAATATTTATTTGAAAGAATTATTTATACAATTTCAATTTATGCATGTAAAATACAATTGCAAATTATTTTTTTTATATACAAAATCTTTTATTTTCGATTATTATTTATTAATTTATATGTAGTGAAAAATATTTTATAATATTTATAATATATATGAAATATTTTAAAAAATTAATAATTAGTAAATCAAAGCTTATTTTGTGTCGATTTGTTCTAATTCACGTATTAATACTTGAAAACCTATATGTATGGATTAATTCTTGTATTGCTTACAATATTTAATATTTATCTTGTATTATTATAAATACGTCGATTTTTTATGTTATTTATATTCCATATTTTCTTAGAGATTATGAATATATTTCACTTGATTAATGAATATTTATTATTATCAGTAATTGAATAATATAATATATAACTAAAATGTAATTCGATGTTTTAATTAATTTATACTAATTTATAATAGTTTTAATTAATATATATTGATTACAAATTCAATATATGGTTTAAATTTTTATATATAATTATAAATATATTTATATTTATTTTTGAAAATTTTTTATTTAAGTAATGAAAAAATAACTTTTTATAGTTGTAAACAATATTTGTCCAATTATTATTGACATGATTATATTGTGCATAATATAGATTTTAAATATACGTTAATTTAACTCTCATGTGTGTGTGTGTGCGTGCGTGCGTGCGCGCGCGCGCGTACCTATGTGTGTATTAATTTATGCATATTTAAAACTAATCAAATTATTAGTATTATATAAACTGTTAAAATTAATATAATCTCTAAAATATATGGAAACATAGCTTTGTATTCCATGACCATTACTCTGAAGTAATTAAAAAGTTTTCTTTTTTGAGAATTTCAATTTACAATTGAAAGTAATGTAGCAATTCACATTATCATATTGTCAAATTTTTAATCAAAATAGCTTTAATCTAAATTAGTAATATATTTTAGTAGATTATAAAGAATAATAAAATGTTATAATGTTTTATCAATTATATATAAATTTTACGATTATATATAAACCTTTAATTAATTATTTTTCATAAATTTTATTGTTAATTCGTTTTTAAATATTTTTTCATACCTATTTCTCAATTAATCCTTATATAATTATCCTTAATAATATTATCCTTATTCTTATATTCTAGAGAATATATTCTATTATGTAGTATATAGTAATATTTCTTATATGTTTATTATACTTAAGATTATCTAATCAATTAATAAATTATGATAATGATTTAGTATACTTTGTTATACCAAATGAAGACATAGGAGAAATAGATTTTACCTATATCAGCTAATGCAGGAAATCTTTAATGTATACATTCTAGCAAATAGTTCGAAAATATCATTTGTGAGAGTTACAGGCAAAAAGTATAAAGCTTATAAAACATTAGTGTCAAGGCTAACTAAAAATTTTAATTATTCTCATAAATTTATATAATTATTATATTATCACAAGAAATATTTTATTAAGTTTTATATTAATAATTATATTTTAACATTTATAACAAGTTAAAATTATAAATTAAATATATAAACAAAATTTCTCAAAACATATGGAATTAAAATTTTTTATTTAAAATGTTATATTTAAATAAAATATATTAATTCATATGTTTATTGAGACATATTCGTACATTTCTTTTGCTTTTGAGAAAAAATATTTATGCCTTATTTAAAAATTTTTCAAAAATATCTTTATAAAATACAGTATATTAAACTGAAAGTTATAGATTTTTTATAATTATTTTATGTTACGAGTATTCATAATTAATTTGTAATTAAAAAATTAGTTAATTGTTATTATAGTTGTCTATAAAGTTAATTTATGATTTACTTACAAGGATTTATGGAAAACATACTTGATTGGAAATGTTTAGTAATAATTTATTAATAACTTAAAAGTTATCTACAGAATATTGTAAGTATGTATTAAAGATTTAAAATTACCATCCAAAATAATAATTCAATATTTTTTTCAATGTATTTTATTATTTGTTCATAAATTTAATTATTTTTATAGCTTTTAAGATTATCTAAACTATTTTTATAACCACAATATGAATAAACCATGCAATTTATTCTCTAAAATTGAACATTAATTTAAAATAATGTAAAAGAAACATCAATTTTTAAAAACTTCATGTAAGTGAAGAAAAAGTAATTTACGAGACATACTATCTTATGGGTAGAATTTAGCGCAACGGTATAAACGCATCTTTACATTTCGTAATAGTTAAGCAGGTATTCCCGCAATTCTCTCTCTCTCTCTCTCTCTCTCAATCCCTCTCTTTCTGTCTGTTTCTTTCTTTTGTATATTTTTCCCCGCTCTTTTTTTCGATTTGGATAATAATAAGATTTTTTCTCTATTACCGCGGCGACTATGTACGCTAAAAACCGAGGTAACGTGAAAGGGGGAAATCCGCTCCTCGGAACTTTCAGGTCTTGGTCGCGTAGACGAGCCGAAAAATTACGAAAGCAATAGAGCGGGAAAACGCGAGCTTAACTGTCCCTGGCATTGAAGAGACATAGCCGACGATGACACGACAAGAATAATTCCGACCTCGCAAAATTAAGTTGACTCCGGCTTGAAATAACACCTCGCGACGCCGATCCTTGGCACCAACTGAATAACACATACCAAATTCACTGAAATTGGTACAATTTACTGGCGCTCTCTGAGATAAGCGCTTAAATTTCTGGAACCGATATTAATAAGGATTTCCAATGTAGTTACAGAATATCAACTCCAACATTAATTTTACATTAATGTCTAAGTGTAAGTAATAGTAATATAAATGCCATAGTTCAAACTTTATTCCCTTAATAAAAATGAAATATTTATTAGAAAAGAAATTGTAAATATTACGTAAATACTATAAAGAAATAAATAATTAAAATATTTTTTTGTGTTCAACATATTTGATGTTAACTAAATTATAAAATTTTTAAAGAATTACAAGAATATTAGAATATTTGATTGAATATACCATGTTAC